AGAGACTTACTGTTACAAAAGAGATACTTGCCTGGAACTCTTACTTTCCATATTAAAGGAAATTTGTGGCTTTTCTTTGGAAGAGCTCTTATGTGGAACATATTTTAAAGACTGTATTTAGTATGCACGACATTATTATTTTTATTTTGGAGTAGTTTCTCTTCGTAATAATGTGTGAGAGAAAAATGGGGTGGATCTGGAACTCCACCAGAGCTAAAAACAATTTTTTAAGATTTTTAAACACAAGGGATCACAGTTTAGTTTTTGTGTCATGCATTTTCTAGATTCCAGTTTATTTTACCTTATTTTTCTCAAAATTTCAGTAATTTTCTTATAAAAGTGACACACGTGGTGGCTGTTAAGGGTTTATTTGTTAGACGACTTTCATTGTTTTTTTGACCTGAGAATAATAGTTGGGAGAGGGGATCATAAACTTAAGAGCAGTGAAAGTTATTTATACAAAAAAGATTAAAAATCCTTGGAGATATTTTAATGGTAATGCTATATTTAACATTACATAAAAATTGTTGGGTGAGATCTTACTTCTGCTTCTGTTATATTTCCTGCATCATCTTTTTTTTAAAATAAATTTATTTATTAAAAAAAAAAGAAAGCAGTGATGGTTGCAAAACTTCATACTAACCGCTTAATTGTACACTTTAAAAGGGTTGCATGGAAATTATATCTCAGCAAAAAATGGGGGGAGGGGCAGGTCAGCTGTAATAAAGGTTCCTATTATTATCCAGTAGTCTGCCTTCTCTTATCAGAAATAGAAGGAAGTAGGGAGATTAAAGTCATTCTGTCAACAGCTCTTGATAATGAGAAGTCTGGAATTATATTTCAAATTGCCTATAAAGGGTGGCCAAAAAGTCTGGAAACTTAGAGGTAGAGGATTAATGGCCCTGCTCTCAAAGGGAAATGATATACGCAGAAAATAAGAGTAACCAGTAGGAAGGGGCTACCTGATAAGGCATGGGTTGCCCCGCCCCGAGGGCCAGCCAGGCCTCCAGCTGTCTAGTGCTCCAACATGACAAGGCCTGGTGTGAAGCCAGGTGCACCTGAGCCCCACCCACAGATTTCCCCAGGTAGTGAGTCACGAGAAAAGCTACGAAGCCAAATAGGCTTTTCCTTATTTCACTTCTGCACCCTGCAGCCTCTAAGCCTATCACTGACCATTAAGCACAACCTGTGGGCCACTCTATGGTGGCCCAAGGAAAGGAAGCAGCAGGAGCAAAAGCTGAAAGGTGAGAAAGGAAGGACTATTAGCAATAGTTTGGCAGGATCACCAATTCCTTCCAGGAATCACAGCAGACAGAATGACCTTAAAATGTACATTGTAACATGTCACCTCCTACTTAGAACCCATCCAAGGCAATCAGAAAACATGCAAACTCCCCACAGCTACCTGGAATAAAATGCACACTTGGTGTGCCAGCCACCAGCTGTGCCTGATGGCACCTGCACCTCTCTGGTCCTCCTTCGCCCCTCTTCCCTCTCAGAGCTTCCAACGCACCAGGTCCTTCAACGGCCCAAGCGCCTGGCTGCCCAGGGCCTGGCATTCGCTGCTCCCTCTGCCTGACTCTGCTCTCAGCGGGCAGCTTCTCATCCCTCAAGTCTTTACTCAAATAGTAGCTCAGATAAATACCTACAGGGGGCCCCTCCTGTTAATCTCTACCACAGCTCCCTGCGGGTGCTCTGTGGAGGGCTCACCACACTGTCACTACTTTACTATTTATTGCAGTCTACCCTGTAGACTAGTCATGCAAAGATGGGGAGTATGCCCAACTTAGTCCCTGGTGTATGTGAGGTGCTGCCACAGTGTCTGGTGCATGGTTGGCATTTGATGTTTGCTAAATAGATGAACCTGTATTTTTAAAAATAAAGAGATGAACCTGTATTTTTAAAAATAACTCTGGCTGGGGAGAATTCCAAGAGACAAGGAGAACAATTAAAGTGGTCACAGATCACATCTTAAGTAACACTGATTGTGGTGCTACTAATAGTACCACTTACAAGGACTTTCTTTCTGACAATTGTACAGTTACATCAGTTAAGCAATGAACAGACTTGATTTGACTAATATAACCGTGATTGCCTGAATGTTTACTAACTGGGGGTCTGCGTGCTTTTACTGTGCACACAATCCCATGTGTCCTTGAACCTCCTTCACAAAGCAGAGGCCAGGTGGGCCTGTGGACTATTCCCAGGGTTAGCAGGCTGTTCTTCTGCCCCTTTCACCCCCTCTTCAAGTGTAACAAGCACAGGTTATGCTGCTGCTCTACAGCAGGGCTTCTCAGCATGGGCTGCACATGAGACTCTTTTAAAAATTCCAAAACCCAGGCTGCACCCCAGACCAATTACATCAGAATCTTTGGGGATAGGGCCCAGGCATCAGCACTTTTTAAGGCTCCTCAGATAATTCCAATGGGCAGCCAAGGCTGAGAAGCACTGTTTTAGTGAAAAATCCAAGCACCCAGAGACCAACCTTCACTTAATTCCCTTATGATAATAGGATCTTGTATTCATTTTAAAGGTAAAAGCTGGTTGTACCAAAAGGAAGCATCCTATGAATAAATACTAATCTAGAGATACTCATAAATTGTTTCCTGAATGTTTATTTAAATCATTAAATCCCCTTTTTTAGATTTTTAATACTCTTCCAACTCCTATTACTACAAATGTCACTTTGCCTCAGAATACTCAGATAGAAAAGTGTATCTACTTGGTGAATAAAAAAATTCTAAAATATATAAAACCCACTTACCTGAACTACTCAGATACATGACCATCTCTACCATTTCACAGAATTCCTAGCAATAGGCACGAACACTTAGCTTCTTGTAAATAAAGAGAGCCAATAATATTCAATTGACTATGTAGAAAATGAATGAAAGAATGAGTTCAAACAAATGATAAAAAACTGAAATTGACTTGCTTGAAATTACTTTTAAAATATGACTTTAAAAATGGCTCCTGCTAGAAAGAGTCACATGTAGAGAACAAACTTATGGTTACCAAGCGGGGAAGGGCAAGGTGGGATGGACTGGGAGACTGGGATTGACATACAGACACTACTATGTGTAAAATAGATAACTAATGAGAGCCTACTGAATAGCACAGGGAACTCTACTCAATGCTCTATGGTGACCTAAATGGGAAGGAAATCTAAGAGGTATATGTATACGTATAACTGATTCAGTTTGCTGCACAGCAGAAACTAACACAACATTGTAAAGCAACTATACTCTAATAAAAATTAATTTAAAAACAGACAAACAAAGTGGCTCCTGCTAGAATTAATCCACTAGGTCAAAGAAAAGCATGTCCAAGCCCTGTCTGCCTTCAGTCACATCCACTTCCACATACATGGATCTATACATCCCACCCAGAAACAGATTTTTACTTTTCTAAAGCCCATATCAATCATCTAATCACACCAACAGACAAGGTTATGTTTCTCACAAGATTACTCACCAAATAGCACAGATGTGGAAAAAATGTTTTTTATGCTCTTCAGTATTTTTAAAGATCCACAGTCTTCCCTAGTTCAAAACAATTCAAGCAGCTAGGCAGTTATTAAATGTGATCAATAAGATCTGAAGCACAAACTTGAAAAATGCTTCAAAATCTTTATTACTAAAAGAACTCTTCCAAGTAGAATACACAAACAGAAGAAAAGTAAAGGAATGTTCTACCTGGTTATTTTGTCCATTATCACAGACACAGTGATGTGCAAGCCATTTTGAACCAGTGTTGCCTACAAACTTTCTATCTACACCATCTATTATTTTATGGAGAACTGCTATTCTTATAACTTTTTCATTGATCTGAAAGTCAAACCAGTTTTTCTGGTCTGTCTTCAGAATTGTTTGGTATACACAAACAGTGTGGATGGTACTTTAGCCGATAATGCTGGAGAGGATCTCCAAATTCAAAAGCAAGTAGTGTCCTATATGTAGTTAGATTTTCTGGAGCCACTAAGGGTCTGTACCAGACTAACTCAGTAATTACTACTTACGTAATTTCGATTTAATTTTTCAAGTCCGAACTTTTTCTAAAACACATTTCCCCTTTCTAGTCATATATTAAATTCTAGCCGGGCCTAGGATAGACACAGTCGTAATAATGTGTTATTGGTGTCTTAGCCTTCCAGCTGAAATATTTTCTTCCTTTTTTTTTTAATCCCTGTGGTTGAGGAAAGTTGTACAGACCAATTCAATAGAAGTAAAACCCACCAGCTTTCTTGGGAAGAACTGTAGAATACAACAAAATTTATTTGTGGGGAAGCATAATTCCTATTGAATGAATGGAAAAATGAAATTGTAGAATATTTTCAAATTAAACACACTGTAGAGTAAAAACAGCCTCAGCTAGCAGAAAAGTCAGATCGTAATCTGATAAGATTCACTTGCCATTTAGATTAATTATATAGATGGGTCATTTATATAACCAAGGAGATATATTAGGGATGCATTTTATAAGGTTTGTTTTTGTTTTTATACTAGGGTAAGTGTTTCCCGTTTGCCTGTAATAAGTGGCGAGCCTTTTTAATATAAAGAAGACAAAATTCTCCCCAGTGTCTGAATTAACATTACTTCTGAATTAAAGAAGCTCTAATTGATGGGGATTTACTGTGTACATAAATATAAGGTGAAATACACACTGAAATAATTATTCGGGAGAAAGAATCGGCTCACTGTACCCGTTGAGATCGTCCCAACAGTAAAGGTCGACTTTGCTCTGCCTTTCATTTGTGCAGCTGTTAGAAGGCATACACTCCGCCAGTTTAACCTGATGAAATATACATTTCGGCTAGTCATCGGGAGATCAGGTGTCAAGGTAAAGCTCTAAAATATGTAACCTTAAGCAGTCAGTTACTACTCTTTGGTCCTCTGACCACTCTCCCAGGGAAATGGGGATGGTACAGCAACTAGAACAGCTCTGGATGGGGGAAGGGGAGTGAAGGGGAGGAAGGGACGGTTGCAGGGGGAGCCACTTACGAGACGTAGGCTGGGTAACCAAATCCTATCAGGTTGCAGAGGAGAGAGGCTCCATAACCGAACACCAGGTACAAAGCCACCAGCCCGATGACACCTGCAGACACGAGGAGGGAAGTGGGTCGGGTGGCACACAGGCGCTCCAGCCGGGCAGCCCCCGCCAACACCGCAAAGCTTGGCCCGTTCTAGGCACTGGAGAAAAACCGCACCGAGGCTGGGCCCGCGCCTTCTCGGGGCTTTGCCTTTGGTCTGGGGATACTGGCAGGCCGCACCTTTGTGCCCTTCCTTCCCCCGTCCCTCCCGCAAGGGGCCCCACGCCACACTGCGCACCAGCTGCAGGAGCCCCGCTTCCTTCCCGGAGGGTCTGGGCAGGCCGGGATTCCGGCGCCTGCCCGCAGCCCCTCCCGTCCCGCGCCCAACTCTGCGGAGGGTCTGGCTAGGACCCGGTACTCTGCCACGGGGACCCCGCCACTCGGCGTCAGCTCTGCGCTCGGCCACAGGCACACGACACTGGGCCGCAGGGCAGACACGTCAGCGCCGGCCGGTCCCCGGCCCCACGTCCCGGGCGCTCCGCCACCGGGCCGCCCCGGGCGAGGTCTCTGGCCCCTGGCCTGTCCAGGCGGCCACTTCTGTCCCCGACGACGCCACTCACCCCCGTCTGTCACCGAGCCCGTGGTCCCAGCTGCGATGCGACAGCCGCTCCCGGGCCGGGCAAGCGGCGGGATCCCGCGGGCCGCAGCCCCACACTCACCGAGGGCCATGTAGCTCCGGTTCACGCCGGTCTTGGCCTCGAGCTTGGCCAAGATGTCAGTCATGCAGTTCTTCTGGTGAAGGAACTGGTCGAACCTCTGCCTCATGGCTGCAGACATGGCGGGGACCGTCGCGCCGCCGCCTGGGACTGCTCCTGGTGCCGGGTGGCCGCAGCGCGAGGTGACTGGGGTGGCGCCGGGCGGGGCGGGAGGCGGTCGATTCCCAAGTCCCTCCGCTCGCGCCCCGCAGCCCCCCTCCTCGCCCCGCCCAGCCGCGCCGCCCCCTCTCCCTCCCGCGGTCCTCGGCGAGCGCCACACCCTCGGTGGCGGCGCTAGCAGCCGCTGCTCACTGCTGGGCGGCCGCCCACTGCCTCTGTTAACTGGGTAAAAAGAGGGTGGTGAGTCTTGTGAGGTCCCTTCGGAAATCGTACTCGAAAGGAGGGGGCAGGCGGCCTTGTTGCTCCCACCTAAAAAGTAGCGGGACTGGTTTGATGTACCTACCCTGTTCTGCTAAACCTGCTGAGACGTTTTAAATCTAGAAATTGAAATGCTCGACCATCCTGAAAGAGCTCTTTGGTTGCAGACCTACTTTTCCCTTCGTTGTCAGTACTCGGCATAGTTCTTCTCACTTACAGATAGGAGTCTTTTTGAAAAGACCCTTGAAGAAACTTAACACACCCTCCTCTGGGGACACCATTTCCAAGAAAAGTCCTGCCCTACACTGCTTAAACCATTTCATGGTGGGCTTGGCATTTGCTTGGTCTCTGATACCATGGAAACTTTTCCAGACCCCGGCTGCGAAGTCAGTAGTGCGCGCTTGCCTACAAGCAAAATTACCCTGCAGAAGGTAATTCCAAATCTTTGGGCAGAACTTCACTTTGCTTCCTTCAGAATGTCGTGCTCATGCTCTTCCTCCACCTAAACTTAGGCTCTTGTTACCGCTCGCCCGTATTATTTCAGGAAACTCCCTTTGAAAGTATTCTTTCTTACTCCTGTGATCTGCACCCTGCTGCAGAGTTTTCCTGGTTGCTTAAGCTTGAAAGGCTCTCCGTTCCCTACAGACCAGAGCTCCCATTCCTTAGTATAGCATTCACTGGCCCTGTGCACAGACTTGCCCCAACATTCTCTCTTTGTCCTGTGCAACCCCTCTGCTCTTTCAAATTGACTTTACAGTACTGCCTTACACTTCGGTGAAAAGCTACCTTGCCCACTCTTAGCCTTTTCCTTTTGTGCTAATTCTCCTTCCTCTTTTCTTCCCCAGATCTTAGCTCAATTCTCTCAGTAGTCCCATGACCATCCAGACAAATCAGTGACCAAATTAAATTTTAAAAAAAAAGTAAATAAACCAATAATAGGATTACTGTGATAGCCTCCCCGCTGAGGTGTCCATTTCTGTCTTTGTACCTACAGGCAATTCTCAGTGTGGCAGCCAACTGGAATATTTTTAAAATGTGAGTCAAGTTGTGCTGTCTTTTTGCTCTTAACCCTCCAGTAGCTTCCCATCTGCTGGCCTCAAGGTCATAGATGATATGTGTGGTTCATCCTTCTCCCTTCTAATTTCATCTCCTATTGCCTGCTTCCTTGCTGTGCCTCAAACAAGCTGAGCCCACTCCTGCCCCTGGGCTTTTACTTTTTTGCTGTCTTAGTGGCTCTCAAACCGCAGTGATTTTGTCCCCCACAGGACATGTGGCAATGTCTGGAGACATCTTTGGTTGTCAGATGAGTGGTGACAACTGGGGTAGCAGATGTTACTCACCACTACTAGCATCTAGTAGGGATGCTGCTAAACATCCTGCAATGCACAGGTCAGTCCCCCCCACCGCCCACCCCCGCAAAGAAGAATAATCCAGCCCCAAATGTCAGTAGTGCTGAAGTGGGGAAACCCTTCTAAAAGCTCCAGATAAGCACTTAACTGTCTCCTCCCATTCGTCAGGTCCTTGATCAAATGACAAATTTGTGAGGCCCTCTCTGATCCAGAATTGCAACCCCCGATGCTCTCTAGCCACTGTCTTGCTTTATTTTGCTCTATAACACATTACTGTCTGATAGTCTGTGTGTTCTATTTGTATTTTTTTTCTTTCCCCACTAAATTATGAGATCCACAAACGTGGGTATTTTTGCATGTTTTGATTATATCTGTGTCTCAAACACCTAGAACAGTGCCTGGTATTTAATAGGTGTTCAAACTATTTGATGAATTAACGAATATCTAACATGCATTGTACTACTCAGTATTCTATGTGTTACATGTACTAATTCACTTAATCCTCACAACAGCATGGTGTAGATACTATCTATTTTATCCTCATTTAAGGGAGGGAAATGAGGTATGCCAGGGTCTCAAAATTGATAAATGTCAGAGCTAGAATTCAGACAGGACTCTTACCCCCTGCTGATACGGGTTAAATTGTGTCCCCTGCAAAATGGATAAGTTGGAGTTAAAACCCCTACCTTATTTGGAGGTAGGGTCTTTATAGAGGTAATCAAGTTAAAATGAGGTTATTAGGGTAGACTCTAATCCAATATGACTGGGTCCTTATAAAATGGGGAAATTTGGATGCAGAGACAGACACACATAGAGGGAAGATGATCTGAAGACACAAAGGGAGAAGCCAGCCATCTACCAGCCAAGGAGAGAGGCCTTCCCTCACAGCCCTCAAATAAAACCAACCCTGCTGACACCTTGATCTTGGACATCTGGCTTCCAGAACTGTGAGACAATACATTTCTTTTATTTAAGGCAGTTTGTGGTACTTTGTTACGGCAGCCGTAGCTAGTACAACTGGCTACGAGGATAACTGAATTTTGAACTTTTTAACCAGTTGTGTGTTTGTATAATTTCCTACTAAGTGAGTACAGTAATTATTCATTTGGTTGGAAGTCAGTGTCATGTTTTTGAGAACTTCAAATGATTCACAGTTTGATAGTGTTATCTTTTTTAAGCCAAGGAACAACATCTTTCAAGTTAGGTATTCAAATCAGCCTAGATTTTTATGACTACATTTCATATAGTGTCAACACACTATGCGTGAAGTATTTGGAAACATACCATTCATTTGGACTTCTTTTGTATAAATATTGCTCCCTTCCCAGTTTTCTGTGAAGTTAGCTTCCAAATTTTTTCTTTCCTCCGTCATTCTAACACTGGCAAGATGAGGCAGCAAGGTAAGGCGTAGTGTGTGTGTGGAGCACAGCCTCTGGATCCAGCCTGTACAGATGAAATCCCAGGTCCACCATTTAGCTGTGTGACTTTGGGCAAGTTACATAAGCTCTCTGTTCCTCTGTTCCCTCATCTGCAAAATAGGGGTGACAATAGAAACCTATTTCATAGGGTTATCATGATGATTGAATGAGTTACTATTTGTAAAGTTTTTGGAAGAGTGCCTGTTGCAAAATAAGTGTTGGTTAAGTGTATATATTTTTTTCTTTTCTTTTTTTTTGGCTTCTGGGATCTTTAGTTCCCGACCAGGGATCGAAACCATACCCCCTGTGGTGGAAGCATGGCGTCTTAACCACTGGACTGCCAGGGAAGTCCCTCTTAAATAATTTAAGAAAGAAGAAGAAAAAACACAGCTAGATGCTAAAATTGAGATAGAGGAGTACATAGTTCTTGCCTTTAGGAAATGACAGTAAGGTTGGGGAGTGTGGGACCCTTAGCCCATTCAGACACCACTACAAAGCTTAGACTCTTTCAGAGCTAAGAAAAAAGATGCAGAAGATAAGAGCTCAGACTTGGATCTCAAACCATTCACCTAGTTGTATTTATGGAGTATATCCTAGGTGCCAGACGCTGTTAGACCTGGGAAGCAGACAGACCAGGTCTCTGCCTGGAAGGCGATGGAGCAGGCTGGCCTGAAGCCCCTGACTTTGGCAGTTCCTAAGAAGGAAGTCAAACCAACTCGGGATGATGCAAATGCTATTACTCTACCCTTTCCTGAGCTAGGGAAGAAATTTCTGCCCGAGACCTATGATCAGGTCACTTTTGTTCTCCATAAGCTGTTTCTTCAGGTTAAGATAATCTCTTAACCACTTGAAGTCATTAACATATTTTTGTTCTAACTCTCATGTATGTTAGGAAGAAGTTGTAGGGCATAGTTTGCCAGATAATCTCTTTGTTACCCACCCCACGTATGGAGGGGGGACCCTGGCTTTTATTGGAGCCTGGCACCCATGAGGTAGCCAGCCTTCTCAGTCAGGAGACCCTCTGACCCTGTGGACACAGCCCTGTTGGACACACCCCACCTCCCTCTGCTGGAGGAGGCTAGTGGCAACATGTCATAGAAATAAAAAGAGGAAAAGACGAAGTAAACAAAACCTGAGGCACAGACGACAGGAGGAAAATGCAGAGGCTATTAATATAACTGAAGAAAGAATATTAAAAGAAATAAAATGTGAAAATTACCATGCTTCACTGAATACATTTGAATTACATTTTGTTTGCCTCATTTGTCTTATTCCTAAACACTTTCTACTGAAAATATGGACAAAGCATTTTATTGTGTTTCCATGTATCAAACAAGAAGTTGAATTTTAGAAAATTACTGCTCATGATTGAGAATAAATCAACCTGGGAATAACCTATTGTTTAGCAAAAGATTTTTATTCTGAAATTAAATATCATATGCTATTGCCCATAAATCTAGAGATTTTCACCAGGTATAAAATGGCCATCCATTTCTCTTATAGTCCCTGCACAGGAGACAAATAGAAAATAAGTCACTGGTAGGTTGTTTCTCTATGTTCAAGCCATTTAGTCCAGTTCTGGACAAACCATGGCATTTGGATTCCATACTGAGATTGTCCACTGACCCTGGTGTCTGGTTCCAACCACAGAGAGCAATCCAGATTCGCCTCATAGCCTATAGGGTGGTGTGCATTTTTTGCTTTTCTTTCCATGTAGGAGAAGGAGGAGAAGGAGGAGAAAGATTCAGACAATTTTGTGCACTTCCCTTTGTGACTAGGCATCAGGAAAATGTACTTAACTTGAATAAAGGAAGCAAGCAGTTGTATCAGTTTCTTGTGGCTGCTGTGACAAACTACCACAAACCTGGTGGCTTAAAACAACACAGCCTTGTTGTCTTACAGTTCTTTATGTCAGAAGTCTGAAACACGTCTCACTGGGCTAAAACCAACATGGCGTCAGCAAGGCTACATTCCTTTCTGGAGGCTCAGGGGAAGATCTGTATTTTGGCTCATTTTGGGTTTTTGGCAAAATTCAGGCTCTTGTGGTTGTA